GTAAAAATACTATGTTTCATACACTAATAGCCTAAATGTCTGCAGATAAATTATGAATTCGCCACGAAAAACGACGCAACGAAGGGGGTTGCACTAGCCAGATCCGTCCCGCGCTACCACATCTACATAAACCCAACGACAATCCACTCATATGTGTACAGTGAGAATTTAATTATTACCTGAAGCATACAGGTAAATCTGCAGCGCAGTAATGGACACCATAATCGTATCTTTCACAGAGATTTTGAGTGACGCAAGCATATGATAAAATGCGGTAGTTGACATCCTGATGAGGCATAAGAGGAGACCGATTAACGCCCAGCTTCCTTGTATTTCATCGCCCCGATCCCACCAGACAAACGAAATGAACAATCCCGCCTGAATTATGGTTAACGGAATGTCGGCAAAGTAATAGGAAAGTAAAACTTTGTGAAAATCGACCCCCGTCGCCATCGTGCGGGTCAGTGTGCCATCATTGGTGTCGAAAACGTGCAGAAATCCCATCGTCGTCGACAGGAACATCCACATCCTGTGATAGTTTGTAGGACAAGTTCATTTCACCACGCGAGAAATAATGTGCATTCAAATATTAACCGACATACATGAGTAGCATCATTGGTACGAAAAACGTGTTCCACGTGTCGGACAGATTACCGTAGACGGTGTTAAACTACAAAAATAAAGTTAACTAGTACCTGTCCTAATAGAATGATTCAAAAAAATTTCCAAATACCGACAATGGTAGTGTGACCTTTCGTTCGTCAATCCCATATTCCGAAGCAATTTCTTGTAAAAACTTTTGGATGGACTCATACAATGATTTTGTAACAAAGTAGGAGTTCAAGTATTCTGTAAAAATACATGTTTGTAAACCCCGTCGTCACTATTCATGATTAGCGTGTTTTCCTAGATACATAAAGTGCGGCCATAATTTTGAATTTAAAAAATTAACCTGAATTATCCAATCGAATCAAAACATCCGATCCATTCATGATTTCCTCATCCGCATGAATATTCCAGACAAGTCGTTTTAGCATGTTTTCAGTAAAATTTTCTGGGAATTTTACGTACCCCGTGATCTGACCCAATTGAATGGCTTGCAGCCCCGCTACTTCTGTCTCCATGGGCACCTTGCGAAAAGTATTGTTATTTATGTGCATTCATAACATAGAGTTGTGTCAACATTTATCCAAATCGTGCAAAATTACCAAGTTAATGTGTGATTTTTCCAAAATGTTCAAAAATCGATAGGTATAATCTTTTGTTACAAGAGCTTCGTTGGCCATGTTGTCATAAGTTCGTTCAGTTATTGTCCCCAACTTGAGGCCGACTGGATCATTTCCAACCGTATACAAGATGAGGTATGTGTTCACCAGCAAGGAAATTAGTGAGATAAGAGGCAATCTATGTATTTGTCCAGGGTTAAGTTCAAACAAAATGCAATATAAATAACATTCCCTTCAAACATACACTTGTACACATTCACAAACCTCCTCCTAGACTCATTTGCATATCTTGCAAATATTTGCATACACATAATATGTGTATATAAGCAAATACATATTATGTATTTGCTTATATACATATACATAAGTAAACATTTCACAAAAGTTGGACAGAATTTTGAATGTTCTTATTCTTCAAATTACGAGGTTTGGAAGTGCAGCCTAAGAAATTTGATCACCGGATTATGAATTTCTAGTTACTATACCCATGTGGCACTACCAGATAGTGATTCTACGCCACGGCTCGGTCAGACCGCATGAAAATAATCCACCAGTAGCTTTGTGCTACTCGATTATTACAGATATGCAGAAGCCACACGGGAAATAGCACTATCATCAAACCCGGTATAGCCACTTCTATCCCCGGAAGTTTTCCGGTGTATGTGTAACAGTAGAGAGTATGCAGATACATACTTTGATACATATTTTTAAATTTTTTGGGTATCCCATCAAGGGAAAGGAGAAAAATACAAATACGTCAAAAGCTTCAACGCCATGTGACCTGTTCATGACTAGTTTAACAAAACTTACATTGGGTGTCTTTTATACACAATCAAATTCCGGATTGTGAGTGCTTTAAGTTGAGAATAGTTATTCTTCCAGTGTTCACAATGACTTGGCATTTTAGATTGTGAAATTGGTTGGCTTGGATTTGTATTCGAAATCTTGGCTTCCAACACTTCTACGTTTAGTAATTGCACCTTTCTGTCCAATTCGTTCTCCATTTTTGCCGATTTAAGAATGAGACGTGTTGTAATTTTATGTTTGTAAGTTTTGCAAAAGTGAAGGATTACGTCGTCGAGTGTGGTAGCATTCAGTTCACAGTTTGGGCCTGGAATGGTTTAAGACATAAAATTCAATTTATGTGTATATTAAAAGTATTCATGTATCGACTATGCAAAACATGTCAGACAGTAGTATCGATGATTACATACCATATTTTTCTAGTAACGCATTCGGCGAATCTTGTACTAACATGTGGCCATCTCGTAGGTATCCAATCTGAAATTTTTACATTGTTCATAAATTTCTGCCTTGAAATAAAAATGTCTAATAGCACAGTAGAAATAGTGAAAATAAAAAGCAAATACAAATTTTGATATTTATTTAATATTGTCATATTCCTTGTTAAATTTCCTAATTTTACATATGTACACTTCGTAAAATTTAATAATAGGATTAGCAAAAACCCATGGATATATACACCCGATGGTTCTCATACATAACCCCTCGGTCATACGTTCAAAGATTAATGAAAATAACCTACTAACTCGGTGTCAATCACGACGACCCACATGGCTAAAACCAGGATCACCTCAACCTCTAGTGATACCTCTCTGAGAGTGTACATAACTCAGTCCATCAACTTAATGGCACACCTTTGCACATTGTCTTGTTTCTTGGACGTAGTGCGTCGTGAGAAACACCGTTGTCCCTTTGGATTTAACAAGACGTCCCAAATAATCCCAGATTCTGCAAATATTTCCATGTTACAATAGTAACGGTTTCACTTAACAATTGTTCCTAACAACATTAGATAAATGATAACTGATAACAAAGTGGTAACAAACTTCTGTCGTAAAACTGGATCAATTCCAACACAGGGCTCGTCCAATATAAGAATTTGAGGGTCATGCAGCAACGCCACGCTTAGTGATACACGACTCCCCACCACTCAATTTAAGAGGTAATAAATAAATAAGCAGTAAGACTGGATCATTCTCAAAAGAAGTGCATAATATATATGTATAATTTCAAATTACGTATGCGTACCTGATATTATTGACATAACTTTTCAAACTGGGTAGATCCATGATAGTTTTTAAATTTGCCAGGTTGCAGATAATTTTATCTAACGGCATACAATAAAGTCTTCCGTAGTAGATGAAGGTTTCCAAAATTGTGAAGGATTCGTAGAGGCATGTTTCCTGAAATACTTAAGTATGTAAATACGGTTTCAGGGGAAGTTATAAAATTTGTAATATGGAAATTTATTTGATTAAGCACACGAGAGCATGTCCGTAATTTATGCGCTCACCTGTGGCATACAGCCAACTAGACCGCCGGGCATGCCATTTTTGAATGTGGACACATTTCTTCCAAATAACTCAATTTTGCCTTCATTTAACTGCTGAACTCCGACGATGCAGGAAAGCAGTGTGGTTTTTCTAATTAGTTAAAATTCAATTTTAATTTGGAGCTGCTAATAATTGATCGGGAATTCTGTAGTAGACTAAAATAATGAAGAATGAAAAAATTTGTAATTACCCACATCCACTCGGTCCAAGCAGTGCGTAGCTGTGAAACACATGAATGTTAGTTGCTTTAATTCCGTTCTACCAGTATGCATGCATAACAAAAGTTTAACGTTGACATAGGTGACTCATCGCCTGTGACGCCACAGATGTAAAAATCTGCACATTTTTACTAATTTCTCGGCTATGGGAATGTATTTTTAAATTCCATCGGGTCATTTTGTAGAGCAGGTCAGTACCAAGTTATTAAAAATATGCACTATAGATTTTGAAAAGTTTTGAAGGAGGAGAACCAATTTTTCTGAAGGTCTTCATTCTTTTTGGTTCTCCTCCTTCTAAACTTGTCAAAATCTAGAGTGCATATATTTAATCAATTGGTACTGACCTGCTCTACAAAATGACCCGATGGAATTTAAAAATACATTCCCATAGCCGAGAAATTAGTAAAAATGTGCAGATTTTTACATCTGTGACGTCACAGGCGATGAGTCACCTATGTCAACGTTAAGAAACGTTAAACAATTACCAAAACAAGTGATATTGGATCAAAAAATGTCACATGCATATATGTAATATGTACATATATCTTTGTACGTAGATGCATATGTAAGCGTACTCTACTCAAGCTTCCTATCCTTAGTATCGTAAAATAGTTTAGGAAGAAGAAACAAGGAGTTCTGTTTCGTAAAAATCGTAATCTTACAATTAGTAACGAGATTTTAAATGACATCTTACGACCCCTCCAAAATCTCGAAACAGTGCCAATCTATTTTATGATGCTAATAATACTAAAGGATGCGAAGGAAGAATGTGGTATTTAATGTGCTTGAATAAGCTTATTGAGATCAATACCTCACGAAATTAAAAATTGTTCAGGATAGAGACAACGGAGATCTTACATTGTCCCTTTTTCCACCGTGATATCCACTCTGTCCAAGATCACCTTGTCGGAATAAGATTTGCTGCCAGAAACCAAGTTTATTGCTGCGCAATCGGTCAAATTAGACATTTTGAAGCTTATTTTGAAATATATATCTGCTATCAGAATAGGTCTGACAATATAAATCTACATGACTTTGCCAGTGATTAGCTAGAGAAGAACTGAGAGCTTTATTGCTTATGTAGTTGAAAGATGACGAAAAATTTGCAAGGAATCCATAAAGAACTATTTCATCTGATAAGGTGCAAAATGATTTATCGAATCAGGAAAGAGTAGTTACTAATTTGTTAAAAAGTTGAGGCCAAGTAAGAAATTAGCTTAATATAACATAATTGTGAATACATAAATGAGTATTTATATACTACATGCATATCGTTAAGACAGAAGCAGAAGCGGAAGTACCGGTACCACCACACGACAGTCTCGATGGGCCAAAATGTATCTGGAAAAAAATATTTAAATCAGATTTAAATTTATTTAGTGCATTCTGACTTGGTCATAATAATACTATACTGTTAAAAATGCGGTAAAGTCACATATGGTATAAAAATATATGTATACTATGTACTGGTATTTATTTGACATTAACTTCTACCCGGATTGGTAATAGTTTGTTTCCGAGTGGTAAGACTTCATTACCATTACTAGATAAGTACATATCGTCGTACTAATTGTGAGGACGGAGTCTATGGGCGACCCCATCCTCATCAATCCCCTCCCTCTCCCCCTACTTGGTCTCGGGAGCATGGCCAGACCACTACTCCGGAGAACCAAGCGTCTCCGTCGCCATTGCTCTCATCCTGGCTTCCACGCCGTCTTCTCCCGCACCACCTCGACTCGACTACGCATCACACTTGCGACTCACTTCAAAACTTCCCCAAAGTTTCTGGGAAGATAATTCTTGTCAATCTCTCTCTCTCTCTCTGTAAATTCACACACATAAAGTACACACACACACGTAATATATAAATTTAGTTATCAATTAGTAGTGTTATAAAAACTTACCTGTTTAATAAATTAGTGTTGTTAGTAAAGAAACTATAAATTGTGCACAACAGGAACATTATTGGGTGTCATGGAATCTTCACAAGTTGTATTCCTCCATATTGTGCACGTACGCAAAAACTTGGACAGTTAATACGCACTCGCCCCATATTGTGCATCACGGAGTGTTCTACCAACGTGTCGCAGGAGAACCACTCCCCCATCCCCCCTTCTTGTGGTGGTGATCCCACCACGGGCCCCAGCAGAGCTGAAGAGGTCCCCTATCCGACTGTAAGGGTGTTCTCACCGTGGGACTTCGGGAACGACCCCCACCACACCCCAAAAGTGGACGATTCCGCCCTCTTCCTCATCATCATCATCCGGCCCTCTCTCAGCAGCATCATCATCAATTCATCCCCTCATCCATAAATATTAAGAAGGACTTGATTAAGGGAATCGTGGGATCCCCGGAGGTTCCTGTACGAGGTGTCTTCCCCCCGTCCCCCAGAGGCATAATCCCCCCGAGGACCACGACCCTTAACAACAAACCCTTCATAATTCAGAAAAGACCTAAGTGCAGTCGACGCTTAATAAAGAAAAGACCTAACTGCAGTCGACGCTTAATACAGAAAAGACCTAAGTGCACGAAAAAGCACCAGAAAAGACCTATGTGCAAGTATGTATTTACTTATGGCTATATCTTGCCCTTCATATATCGCTCGATTTAGCCATAAGCAAATACATACTTGCACATAGGGATTTTCTGGTGTTTTTTTGTGCACTTAGGTCTTTTCTGTATTAAGTGTCGACTTCACTTAGATCTTTTCTGAATTACTACGACGATATATGGTAATTCCCGGCACCTACCCAGTTCCTGATCGCTCTTGCGCTACCACCCTCGCTCACTGGGAATCATGTCATGTTTGTTTGTTTATCCTTGCGGGACAATATATGCTTTAGTTTTAGTGTCTCACCTGATGCATATAGGTAAATCTGCAATATAGAAATCCCCGCCATAATTGTATCCTTCACGGAGATTTTTAGTGCCGCAAGGGTAAGATAAAACCCGATAGTTGGAATCCGAACGAGATATAAGACGAGACCGATTAACGCCCAGCTTCCTTTAATTTTGTCACCCCGATCCCACCAGACGCACAAGATGAACAATCCCGCCTGAATTATGGTTAGCGGAATGTCTGCAATGTAATAGGAAAGTAAAACTTTGTGAAAATCGACTCCCGTCGCCATCGTGCGGGTTAGCGTCCCATCATATGTGTCTGTCACGTGCAGAAATCCCATCGTTGCTGACAGGAGCATCCACATTCTGTGATTTTGTAAGAATATGTATGTGCAAGTTCATTTCACTATGCCGCAAATAATGTGCTTGTAAACACTTATTTACATACATGAGTAGTAACATTGGTACGAAAAATGTGTTCCAAGTGTCGGACAGATTGCCATAGACGGTGTGAAACTACAAAAGTAAAGTTAATTAGTACCCGTCCCAATATAATGATTTTAAAAAATTACCAAATACCGACAATGGTATTGTGACCTTTCGTTCGTCAATCCCATACTCCGTTGCAATTTCTTTCATTAACTTTTGCATGGATTCATACAATGACTTCGTAACAAAGTAGGAGTTCATGTATTCTGTACATAAATATAACTCTCTTCGTCATTAATTTCTTGGTTAGCGTGTCTTCCAAAATAAATAATTTTGAATTTTGTAAACCTGAATTATCCAATTGAATCAAAATAGCTGATCCATTTACAATTTCTTCATCGGCATGAACATTCCAGACTAACCGTTTTAGTACGTTTTGTGTAAAATTTTCAGGGAATTTTAAATACCCCTTGATACTCCCCATTTTAATGGCTTGTAATGCATCGAATTCAGAGTCCATGGGTACCTTGTAAAAAATATATTTTGTGCACTTGAAATATGTATGTGGAAATAATTTCCTTCATCGTAGTAAAATTTTAAAAAATACCACATTAATCTGTGATTTTTCCAGGATGTTTAAATATTGACAGGCATAATCTTTCGTGGCTAGTGACTGGTCACTCATCTTGTCACAAGGTCGGTCAGTTATTGTCCCCAAGTTAAGGCCAATTGGATCATTTCCAACCGTATATAAGATCAGGTAAATGTTCACGAGGAAGCACACTAGTTGGCTCAGAGGCAGTCTGTTGTGTAATTATCAAATATTAAGTTATAATAAATTGTTTTAAGAAATAATCTCAATTTAATACAATCTGGCAGATCGCGTTATTTCGATATTTTTCATTTTATAACATTAATCCTTGAAAATAATGCAAACCGTTCGAAAACAATAATGCACTGTGAATTCATAAGACATAAACTATACTAAATCCATAGCAAATTTTAGGGTTTATCAATTAAACATTACCCTGGATTTTGCATAGTTTACTTAATGTAGAACTAAGAGGGCAACTATTTTGTAGGGTCTATATACGTTTATACACTTCTGGGATTGTTCAAGAATTTAAACAATATTGGGGATTTTTGTAAGTGCATGGGTACAACACCTGAGAGTAGGTATGTGTTTTTGATTTTAAAGATATTACGATATTGCAATAATAAATAGATGTAGGTGCATATTTAAATATACATCAAAACATATAGCCATGTTCATTCGCATTAAACTCACAATGGGTATCTTATGTACACAATCAAATTCCAGATTGTGAGTGCCTTCAGTTGAGAATAGTAGTTCTTCGAGTGTTCACAAAGATTTGAAACTTTAGACTGCAGAGTTTCTTCAAATGGTTCTACATTCGAGAGGGCTTCGACAACTCCAACTTTTAGTAATTGCACCTTTTGGTTCAATGCATTCTCCATTTTTGAAAGTTTAGGACGACAATGTGTTATAATGTTGCGTGTTGGAGAAACTTGCGTTTTGCAAAAGTGTAGCATTATGTCGTCGAGTGCGTTGGCGTTCAACTCGGAGTTAGGACCTGGAATATCAATTTGCACTTTTTCCACAACGAGTATGCAAAAAAAGTCAGAATTTAGTGTATAAAATTCCATACCATATTTTTCTAGCAATGCATTCGGAGATTCTTGCACCAGCATTCGGCCATCTCGAAGGTATCCAATCTGATATTTTTATGGAGTTAAGTATAAGCTTAATTTTCTAACACAAAATTTGAAATTGTTTCGAATGTTTTGTTATATTCCGGGCAATTTGTTTTTGCATTTATGTATCTACATTCAAGTGCTTTAATTGCATACCTTTGCACATTGTCTTGTTTCTTGTACATAGTGCGTCGTGAGGAAAACCGTTGTTCCTTTAGATTTAACAAGACGTTCCAAGTAATCCCAGATTCTGTAATCATGTACATATGTAAGAATAGTAAAGGTACAATATCAATTATTCTTGGCAAAGCGTGCCAACATTGCATTAATACATATGTTTAACAAACCCTTGACGTAAAACTCGATCAATTCCAACGCAGGGTTCGTCTAAGATAAGAATTTGGGGGTCATGTAGTAAGGCCACGCCGAGGGAGACACGACGCCTCTCCCCACCGCTTAATTCGTAAATAACAAACATGAATTAAAGCGGGCACCGATCTGTACAGAAGTGAGCAGGGTTCCGGGTCAACCGGGTTAAAACCTTTCCGCCCGCCCGCCAGATCGGCTTCGGACGGGTCGGACCCAAAAATGTATCGGTTTGGGCGGGTCGGGTTTCCAAAATTTTAATCCGACTAACCTCTACTATACAGAACTGTTTAATAGTTTATGCATACCTGATATTATTCACGTTGCTGTTCAAACTTGGTAGATTCATGACAGTTTTTAAAGTTGCCAGGTTGCATACAATCTTATCTGACGGCATACAATAAAGTCTTCCGTAGTAGATGAAGGTCTCCAAAATTGTAAAAGACTCATACAGACAAGTTTCCTGTTACTAATTAACGTGATTTTAGATGAAAGTTGTTCTTCTGTATTAACCATGCATGTATGCCATTAGGTGTATCCCTAACTAAGATATTTACCTACCTGTGGCATATAACCGATTAGACGGCCAGGCATCCCATTTCGAAAGGTGGACAAATCCTTTCCAAATAATTCAATTTTTCCTCCATTCAACTGCTGAATTCCCATGATGCATGAAACATAGATCGGATATTTTGCGTACTCCGGCCTCCGCGTACTCCGGCCTCCGGCCGGCAATGCGTACTCCGGCCTCCGCGTACTCCGGCCTCCGGCTGGCCACGCGTACTCCGGCCTCCGCGTACTCCGGCCTCCAGAAAAAGTCGCGTACTCCGGCCTCCGGAGGCCGGAGTACGTACTCCAAGACCGGAATTCTCCTATCTATGCGATCGGAAATTTTGCGTACTCCGGCCTCCGTACTCCGGCCTCCGGCCGGCCATGTGTACTCCGGCCTCCGGCTGGCCACGTGTACTCCGGCCTCCGCGTACTCCGGCCTCCAGAAAAAGCTGCGTACTCCGGCCTCCGGAGGCCGGAGTACTCCGATCTATGGCATGAAAGTAGAGTGGTTCTTTCTGATTTGTCTGATGGTAGAGTCTTTCTGATTTGTTGAAATTCAAATTTTATCTTACAAGGGAACATACGGAGGTGTCCAACGAGTTAAGGGTCGACACCTATACCAAAATGACCACAATACATGACTTGTGAAACAAACTGAAGGAATTTCCGTGTAAAATTCACTTTTCGTCACGCTGTGACGATATTTGTGACGAGCGCATGACCATCGGGTTGCCAGAGGGAGAGGTCGGCCGCTCAACGATCAGGTCGAAACACAGAGAAGTGTCGTCGTCTTCAGAGATTTCGGATTCTTTCAAATTTTGAAAACATCTTGAAATGTTTAGAAAATTGTAAGATAATTTTGAAATTTTTAGGAAATTTTGAAATTTTGAGAAAATTTTGAAATTTTGAAGTAATTTTTGAAATTTTCTAAAACTTTCAAGATGTTTTCAAAATTTGAAAGAATTTGAAATCTCTGAAGACGACGTGAAGACGACGACGCTTCTCTGTGTTCGACCGGATCGTTCAGCGGCCGACCTCTCCCGCTGGCAACCCGACGGTCATGCGCTCTTCACAAATATCGTCACAACTTGACGAAAAGTGAATTTTACACGGAAATTCCTTCAGTTTGTTTAATAAGTCATGTATTGTGGTCATTTTGGTATATGTGTCGACCCTTAACTCGTTGGACACCTCGGTATGTTCCCTTGTTAGTTTTATGGTCATAATAATCGATCAGGAATTATCTAGTATGTAAGCTCATAATGCAGAATGACAAAATTTGTAATTACCCACATCCACTCGGTCCAAGAAGTGCGTAGCTGTAAAATACATATGTACATGATTGTTAATTTTTTCATAAAAATATTTTATACATGTCTGTAAATGTAGCACACAATAAATCGGCTCTCATTTAAACCCATTCCAAACCCGTTGTCACTCCTTAAAAATTTAAAACAACGGAAATCTTACATTATTCCTTTTTCCACCGTGATGTCCACTCCGTCTAGGATCACCTTGTTCGAGTAGGATTTACTGCCAGAAACGATCCTTAATGCTGAACAATCGGTCAAGTTATACATTTTGAGGCTTGTTTTCAAATACAAATATGTTATTGTAAGAATAAACCTGAAAATTTAACTATTTTTATGAACGGCTAAACAAGAAATGAGAGATTTATAAATTGTAAGATGATGTGAAATATGCAATGTAGCAGTTAAATCATAATGAATTATTGCATCTGATAACGTGCAAGGTGATTTCTGCCTGACCTCAATCCAAAAGGAGGATTTACTAATTAATTATATACTGGAGGAGAAGTGAAAATCTAGGTAGCATCAAATAAAATGTTGCACGTGGAAATGCATACATACATACATACATACAATAAACCGTCGCAAACGCGCATACGGAAGTAGCTTCAGACGTACTTCACCCCAAACGGTCCCACCACAACTCGGGAACACTTAATTTCACTCTATTTCACCTATAGATTAATTTTTTGTAAAAATCTCATTTTGCCCCGACCACACCCCCTGGCGACGAGGGGGTGTGGAACAACTCGGGAACACTTAATTTCACTCTATTTCATCTATAGATTAATTTTTATAAAAATCTCATTTTGCCCCAACCACACCCCTGGCGCCTAGGGGGTGTGGCACAACTCCGGAACACATAATTTTACTCTATTTCACCTATAGATTAAATTGCACTAAAAATCTCATTTTGCCCCAACCACACCCGCTGGCGCCGAAGGGGTGCGGCAAAATCGGGGAAACACTCAATTTCATTTAATTTCACTTAATTTCATTTAATTTCACTCAATTTCACCTAATTTTACCCATAGATTAAATTACACTAAAAATCTCATTTTGCCCCAACCACACCCCCTGGCGCCGAGGGGGTGTGGCACAACTCCGGAACACAAAATTTTACTCTATTTCACCTATAGATTAAATTGCACTAAAAATCTCATTTTGCCCCGACCACACCCCCTGTCGCCAAAGGGGGTGTGGTCCGGTTGCCCCCAAAAGTTGATAGGATCCTCCCCCTGGGGTCCTATGTATGATGGCGAAAACCGATTTCGATTATCTCGATCCGTTCTCCTGATATCCTGCTGACAGACAGACGGACAGACAGACAGACAGACAGACAGACAAAGTCTTCACATAAAGTAGCTGAAGCTACTTAATAATGTATGCATGTATGTATGTTTATACGCTACTTTATGTGTACATATCTTAACTGATAAATACATAACCAATTTGCATATACATATAAATACGTACATGTATACAATAACAAAAATGCACACATGCATACATCAATTTATTTAATTAATTTTACAATGCTCGTTGGTTTCCCAGCTTGAAGATTGATGTTAACGAGATAAATACCTTGTTTAATAACTATCTTGTTTGGATTCATGATTGAAAATGTGTATCAGGTTGGGTAAGTATGTACCTGAGTAGTCTCAGAATCCTTCGCTCATAGTAGCCACGTTACTGCAAATGTGTTAATAGGTCAACAATTTTTGTGATTTTAAATAGAATGTGAACTACACATTTATATACATCTAAAGTTTAGATATGTTTAAATTCTAAACTAAAAAGGGTAAATATGTAAATCCTAAAGTTTCCCCAGGTAAAAACATGTACATACGTATCCACCGCATTCGACCAGCGAGACTTATTTTGTTAGTCTATCTTCAAAGTTACTGAGTATTTAACGAATCATTGCTTCTAGGTCAATCTGCAGTGTTGCGAAAAGATTGAAGAGTACATACTCAATACAGTATTTACAATAGTTATGTAATTTCCTCACGAAAATAAATCTATGGCAATATGGCATTGACCTTTTGTGTTGAATCGCTTTATTGCTACGGCGATAATTTTTTTTCTCACGATATACACACATTCTGCATACTATGTACAATGTATTTGTTTGATTTAATTATCTCATTTCTCGTATATTTAACATATGTACATAAGTACACATGTATGTATTTACTTATGTATATGTATGTACTTGCCTAGACATCACCCATCACTAGGTAGGAAATTTTATTCATAGGACAAAACTACTGGAAACTTGATACTTTTATAATTAGGTGTTTTTACGCATTCATATCGTAATTTCAGGTTGGGAAGGCTTTGTTCAATATTTTTCTCAGATTGGAATGAAATTACAATTAAATTAATTAATTATTGGATTATAAATCAGTCAGTTAGTACATGTATTTTTTTAATTTGCAACTATCTGGCTAACTATACATATATGCACATGCGTCTTGGACTACAGCTTCCAATTTAAATCTTACAATTCTGTGTAGAAAAGCCGATTTGTTTAACGGATACTGTACTTATGTAGGTATAAATGTAGTTTGATGACTTTATTTTCGTCATGTTTCCAAAATCGATTTTAATGAAAGTTAAGCAAGGTTTCTTTATTGTCATATTTTAAACCATAAATACATAAATGCATCAACCGTAAAACATAATTTCAGAGTTGGTAGATATTCCGGAAATATTTAGAAATCAATTTGAGTGCGCATAATAAAGTTAAAAACGTTTTACAGATAAAACGGAAAAAACCATTTTATAGGGTGGGTTATATCTGGGATAAGTAATGTCAAATTATAAACACCGATGATTTCTGTTATGTAATGCATGCTTTTATCTTCGTTTTGACACCTGTCTAAATAAGTATGTCTACCTACCTACATATTTTATAAATAAATACACTTCTCCAAATAAAATTATATATTCAACCCACACGCGCACTACTTATCTAAAATTACATACATACGTAAATAATATATGTACATAACTCTGTATTTATAGTTCTCTGACTTGCATAATACCTTATTTGGAGTGGAAAAACAGAAAATGGGCCGTCCTCAAATTTACGCTGTACATGTATATTATAGGTTATTAATGATAAGATCCCTTATCATATTCCTTTGTTAAGAAGGGTAATTTTCCATCCCAAATTCACAGAGGTCGCTTAAACCCCTATAGTAACCTGATAGGCAAACTCAAGAAATATGTATGTAAGTACGGTACATCATGTACCGTACATGTTCTCTTAGCAAAGTGGTATTGAATCATCACCGACCGGAGTGATATAAATAATTTAACCGGCACGGTAATAACCATTACGTACCAGCAATATATTTACCTCTTATTAAGTAATGAAGCACATATAGCGTTGTGGTAGCGAGAATTTATACTTAATATTACCAGTCCGGGAGTAAGTTATTCCCTATGAATGCACGGAGCTCGCGAGTTTTTTAACTGTTCAGACTTAACTTCATGGTGCTTGCAATAACATAATCATAAACTTCTCGTAGAGCATTCATTTATCTAATAGACACTTATTCCGATTGGTATATATGTAAATGCTATACCTTGATAAATTATTAATCAGTTATTGATCAATTAAATACATAAATACTCAGCCTATTTACTCATAAATGAATCACATTGACATTGAGCTTTGGGTTTGACATGGTCGAATAGTAAACTTTCTCAATATTTCAAATCTTGTACCTAAGTCCATTGCTACATAAAAAGAGAAGTATCCGCTTGAGGACATCCCAAGTCTAGACATCGTTAACTTCAACCATGTATCGAACCGAATTTCTTCCCGGATTGAAGTTTAATTTAAAAATTTGCAAAATCCTGTCCTGCTACCCGTTCGAATGGGACCTTAAATCGGGTCGATTAATCAAGTGCCGACCTCGTCGAGTCGCCATGTTTAAACTGCAATGCCTCCTCTCCCTCGGTTACTGCACGGGGCTGGGTCTCAACATCTGTTTTGGAAGGTTAAACAAAATTGAAAAACTTCAAGGCTTCTGTTTCTTCATGGGGTACCTTGTTACGACCATAACTCGGTGGAATTACACCCTAGATAATGGCCCGAGCCAAGTTATCCACGCTTTCCTGGACGTGGAGGCCTCTATTTTGTCCAAACTTCCCCATCTGCCGATTTCCCTGGCGACAAAGGCGGTCCAGCTGTTTCTCAAATTATGCGACGTTTGCATTCCTGCTTTTCCGGTGCTGGTCTTTGTTTTGCTGCGAGTCGACCCATGCACGCCGCCCTTCATTCTTTCCATGGTGCCGGGATGTTAAGATGCGGGAACATGCATGGGAAGCTACCTCGGGAGCCTGGGCGTGCATATCTTTGAAGGCTGGATGTCTGCACACATAGTGTACTCCAATGGTATTGTGATTTGCTACATCTTTTTCGTGTGAATCATTTTCATAGTCAACTTCCTCCATGTGTTGTAAAGGTTTGGTTAATATAAGATGGAAATTTTTTAAACCTACACTCTTAAAGTTACTGCTTTGAAGAGTAAATGCATTCTGAATTCTATATTTGTCAAACCAACCTAAATCCAGAATAACGTTGACTTGATGAAGAGTAAATGTCTCAAGTTTACTTTTGGTATAGATTCATTAATTTAGAATGCATTTATTTTTAAAAAGGGTAACACAATTTTTAGGAGTGTACCTACTTATCGTCGTACTAATTCTAAAAAGTCCTAAGTACAGTAAATGCCTAATTTTACAAATGCCTAAGTGCAGTTATTTAACTCCTAATTTTTAGACAAGGACCTAACCGCAATTCCAAAATTACAGGAGTTAATTATTTACATTTTTTAAAATTAAGACATTACTGCACCTAGGCCTGTTTAGAATTAATGTGACGATATGTATCTATCCATTACCAATCGGGTGGTAAACATCTATCACAATTTTTCCACAGCCACATCACTTCTACACGATTGAACAAGCACACCGATTGTATCCAACTCTACCGGGTCGTTCAAATTTTAGAAAAGTCATTAAACGCCTACTTCTCGAAGGTTATCCTTCCGGCGATAATGTTTTGCCACCCGGTCATCGAAATATTCGGTCTTTTTGTATGCATCAGTTTATCGAAAGAAATTCCGATGCCTGGTTTTCTCGTGTTTCCCTTGATGGCCACGGTCACCGGAATTAACAATGTTCTTATGGTCACCCTCGCCTCAAAGTTTCACAGTTCGTCGAGACACGTGCTGGCATGCTTGGAAAAAGTGACGCTGTCAAATACGTAGGTGCTTTATTATTAATTTTCAAAAGGTATGTTCCGCACTGTTTCTGACCAAAATTTTGATGAAATAACAAACTTCAAATACATTT